ATTCATTCTCAGCTGCGGCCCTTCTGCTCTGTAATCTCCATAAATCTGCAACTTTCTCTTTTTGTTCCTCACGTAAGTAAAAAAGAAGAGAAATTGTTAAAAAAAAAAAATAAAAGTACTAGCGTGGTCTTTCACGTAAACACAAAGATTTTCTGCTTTAGCTGCATCTTGAAATCCTGGCTCAGTGTTTGCTGTGATCTCTTTCATCTCTCTTTTTTCTTAGAAAATGTTATTTTCTGAGAGATTTTCTCTTTCACAGGACAGCTGCTTTGATTCTCAGAACTCGTTGGTTAACAGTAAAACAGCAGAGACTGACAGAATCACGAGCCAATGGACTAATCAAACAAAATGGTAACCACGTGGCCATCAATGTTCCTTTGATTAGATGATTCAGTGTAGAAAAAGCTCTGAAAGTTGGAGAAATTACATTTCTGGTAGCCGCACACATGTGACTAACAACCACACATGTTCCTTTGTAAGGCCACTCACCAATCCTCCCCCAAACGACATGCATGCATCTAGGTATGCTGTTGGACTGTGGGTGGTAATCAGGGTACCTGGAGAAAGCCCTGCACATGCATCCATGCTGGTACTTGGATTAGCTTAGTGTGAGGTGTGATGCTATCCACCCCACCACCACACCACCGCACTGTCAAAATCTGCCTAGTGGAATTCAATATGACCTAGTTATGAGGCAGCGTTTGGAAGAACAGGAAAGTTATTTGAAAGTCAAGAAAGTATCTACACAGTGCTGACTCATGTCGTTACTAATGCCTTACTTGTGTTTTTCTATAAAAACATCCTATGTATACATGATCATGTTTATTTCCACTAAAGTGAATTTGTTTCTAAGATTATTCCTCTTAGATACCTGACAGGGTTTGCTCACATGATGACAGCAGCACAACACACTGCAATACTTTGTTAAGTAAACAAGCTGTATTTCACATTGCATATCTCTTTGTTTTTGTCTTCTTTTTTCATGTTAAGGTGCATCAAACAGATAAACATGCATTGCAAACTGTTGTTGTATTACAAAACTCTTCATGCTGAACTATGTGTGGCTTGTTCAGAATAAAATAAGGAAGCTTAAAGATCGGCCTGTTTATTCCAAATCAATAATTCATTTATTCTTCCCTTACTTCCATGTTTTCCTGTACAGGGTAATGGGGAACTGTTGCCAAGGTGAGGGGTGGGGGATATCCAAGACACGTGTAGAGACAGAACAGACATGCAATCAGTCATTCACACCTAGGGACAATTTAGAGTAGCCAGTTAGCCCAGCGTGCATGTATTTGGTCTCTGACAGGAAGCTGGAGTGCAGGACACTCACACATACATGGGATGAACATAAACTCCATGAAGAGCAGTTGCAGCTGGGTGTTGAACCTGCAACCATCTGGACAATAGGCTATAATGCTATCAAATTAGACGAGTGGAAAAGGTTCCCCATGATGATGAAGAAAATCCTGCCCTCCTTTGACAACTCAACATGAAATATACCATAAGCCTGTTTACATTTGCTCTCTCAAATTCAAATTTTATTTGTCACATACACAGTCATACACAGTACGAAATGCAGTGAAATGCCTTAGAATAAAGTAACTGTACAACAAAATACACAGTATGTAAATGTATAAGAATGTATGAGGAAATAAAAATATCTATACAATAACAGCAGCTGAACAAGTATTAAATGGAAATGAAAAAAAAAAATATATATATGATGTCCAGAGTTGTGCAAACCACATTTTAGTGACTTTGTAGTGCAACTGTGCTTAAGCAAAGTCCAGACTGTTCGGTGTGTGAGAACCATATGTGAAGGCACTTACTATGTGGTGGTGGGATTTAAAGATCGTATCGCCTGCGGGAAGAAACTCCTCCTCAGCCTCTCTGTGTTGGTCTTCAGGGAGCGGAATCGCTTTCCTGACCTCAACAGAGAGAACTGTCTGTTGTTGGGATGGCTGAGGTCCTTCACGATCTTCCTGGCCTTGGTCCAGCACCGCCTGCTGTAGATCGAGTGCAGGTCAGGGAGCTCGGAGTGGATGGTGCACTCAGCTGATCGTACAACCCTCTGTAGAGCTCGTCTGTCCTGCATGGTGCTGTTCCCGAACCAGGTTATGATGTTCCCCGCCAGGATGCTCTCTATGGTGCACGAGTAAAAGTTCCTGAGCACCCTGGGTGGCAGTCGGAAGTCTCTCAAGCGTCTGAGGTAGTAGAGATGCTGCCGGGCCTTTTTAACCACGATGTTGATGTGACAGGACCATGACAGGTCCTGCGTGATGTGAACACCGAGGTATTTGAAGCTGGTTACTCTCTCCACTGGGCACTCGTTGATGACGGGGATCTGATAGTTCCTCTCCTGCTTAGTACTGAAGTCCACTATCAACTCCTTCGTTTTACTGACGTTTAGAAGGAGGTTGTTCCTCTTGCACCAGGTCTCCAGATTCCTGATCTCCTTTAAGTAGGCCGCCTCGTTGTTGTCAGGCCCACCACGACGGTTCCCCATGATGATAAAGAAAATCCTGCCCTCCTTTGACAACTCAACATGATTTATACCATAAGCCTGTTTACATTTGCTCTCTGCATCTAGTTTTCTCTTGGGAAATGCATCTTCACTCTCACTGCAGTTAATGACAGCAGCATCTTGTTTACCAACACCTCAGACTGCGCTGGCTCCACAAAGTGCACAGGATAATGTGCTGAGCAATGTGAGGTGACATCATCACATCCCTCTAAATCAATTAGGCAGCGTAAATTGAATTCATGGTAACATCATGCAACTGCATGTTTTTACAAATGCAGGATGTGATGCAATTTTATTTCAAATAAATGGAAGTATTTGTTTTTAAGCTTTGTTTGTACTTTTGGCAATTCTCAACAGAAATGAATATTGTGGGTCAGCATGAAATAGATGTATCCTTAAGTCTTCCCTGCTGGTCTTATTCGGGAAGTTTCCTTTTCCCAAGAGTTTATTTTAAGTTCCTGCTCTTTATTATGCTAAATTCTCAACCCTGCACTGATATTCATAAGCCGTTCACCACCAAACCCACTTTACTTTGAGGACACTTTATCCTGTCCTCCATATGCTCCCTCTGTTCTTGTCATTTACAAACTAAAGGTAGACCATTTTATCAAAGACGTAATAAAGTTTAGAGCTGTAAACTTTACCATGTACTATATAGATGGATTGTGTTAAGAGGGCGATATATTAAACAGCGTGTTCTTCTAAGACCAGTGGAATCATGTTCAAAATTTAAAACTCTGTTTTGGGGAAACTGCTGTCAGTCTTCAGTTAGAATATTATTGTGAAACAAACTTGAACCAGAGGGCAGTCGAGGCATTTCTCTAAAACATTCACCTTATTTTTCATCATTGCTTTTTCTCCTCCAGCACAAACTTCTAATCCACCCCCTTGTCTATCTATCTATCTATCTGCTGCTCCTCTCCATCAACCAATAACTTTTTGTTTGTAAGCATTTCACAACATGTTATTTCACTTCAGGGAACCAGTTTGGACTTTTAGCACCTTCCAACTCTCATGGACAAATGCTCCCTTGTACACACAGAACGGGAAATTATAAATTACACCAGAAACACACACAGACAAGCTCACTGAGGCAGCTCAGTAGGTGACAAGTGTCCCACATCCTTTCAGTCCCGCTAAGTAGTTTGAGTGTGTTTGTTTGAAGAATGACAAACAGACAAACATCAACAGTGGTCATCTTTGCTTTTCCCAGTTGGGCAAAGTGTAGAAAATTGCTAAACGCATTAACACATTCTACCTTAACACACACTGCAGAGAAACTATGATGAAGCTCCAATTTAAATAATTCAAGGTGTTTACTCTTTTAACAAATTTTCTATTGCTCTTTTTTAAAGTACAACACTACAGAAAATTCCCAATTAGTCATTTTGGCATAAGAGTTGATGTATCTGCTCATGAAGCTGATTAACCTTTTACTAAAGTGGCAAACTCATAATGACAGAGGAATCAAAAAGCGCTACATCAGTTTCCAAATATAAAATCTCAATGGGAGATTGAATCCCTTGTGGGCTTTTTAATACCCAGTGCCCAATATGCCTAGATATCCATAAATGGTGTTTTATATTGATTGTTAGGATGTAACCATTTAAAGCTTGTGTGATGTTTTGAATTCAATTAAATATTTTCCTTGCTCATTTAGGATTGTATATTGCACAGAAAAGAAACTATGAGCATGACGAGGACATTAAAGTCATAAAAAATTGTCTACTTTCAAAACGCCCAATGGAAGAGGATCTATCAAGCAAGAAGTGTTCCTGCATGAGTGAGTTGTTTTCTGTATGCTACACGTATAGCATCAGATACAGGGCTGCAGGCTGCTTCTCCTTGGAACACTTGGCTTTTCTGTTGATGCATCTCAGTAACTGTTACTGACATTTATTCTTTGTCACAGCTTAAATAGAAGTAGTTTGCAGCTTTACTGGTATAAAACATCAACAAAACCGTTTGACACTAAATGCATGTCAATGAGAAGTGAGAATTCAAAATTATCACGTCATATTGATTCAAAGTCTGACTGATTTGACCGGATTGTGCTGTGTGCTTGGCCTCTATTATGCTTTTTTCTATCTGGAGGGTTTGTTTATATATAATTTAGATTTTTCCCAAAACATGTCAAAACAGAACAGGATATTTAATTGTCTGGCCCTTGCCAGCTACTCTGGTGAATACGTTCATTTCAGCACCACGGACAGCGTAAATTAATCTCGCTCTGTTTGATTAAAACAACTGATCACTCATGAATGATTCTGTGGAAACTGATAAAGATTAAAACGTTTAGCGGAGTTTACAGCATAAAACACACTTTGAACTAGTCTGGCTGTAAAGCTGGATCTTGTCTTGTTCTCGTGCCAGTCTAGTTAACGAATTTACAGTCCACTTGGTGGGCCATGAAGAGGTGATCAACAGTTAGGAGCAGTTCAGAAGTAGAATAAAAGAAACTTTTTTTTCTTACCTCGCTGTGACGCGAGAACTCCCTCTGCACAACGCTGACAACTGGCACCTGAAGCGCAAGTGAAACGAATTCCAGTTTGAGGAGCTCGTCCCGGTTCCGCGGGAAGGCGATCATGGCGGAAACACCTTGCACGACCACGGTGTGACACACGCTCTCCAAGAACGACAACGGGTCCTCGTCCTCGGGAAAGCCCGTGGAGGAGTGCGAAAACGCGGGTAGTTCTCCAAGCGCCGATCCCACTGCCATGACAAGCTCCAGAGACAAATTGTAAGGCAGCAATCCGGCCTGGTTAAGAGCCTCGGCTGCCATCAGAACCGAATCTCGGGGTGAGAACACTCGATCCTCTTTCGGAGGGGGGTTCCCCTCCCGTTGTCTCACCTGGCTTTTACTCCTGTTAGTGCCCCGCTGGCTGTTAGCGGTGACTCTGGTCCTGAGGTTTCCATATCCAGGCGCGCCGGCACTTGTTTGAACCTGTTTCTTTAACTCCAGCAACTGCTCTCTTGCCAAAGCTTCTCCGGTTTCCCCAGAACCGCTGCCAGCAGCAGTGTACAGAAAGCGGGGCTGAACGTGCAGAGCCCCCACCCGAACAGTGTGGCCGATCCGTTTCAGCACCTGGCACGGCTGTGGGTGCGAATGAGCGCATGGCAGGAGAAAAAGGAGAGCGCACAGCAGGAAACGTAGTGGCGGCGAGACACCGGTGCCTGGTCGAGCTGTCGAGCCATTCATCATCATCCTCATCACCACCGACTTCTTCATCCCCGCTCCACAACTGCACCGGATTCCCCGTCCAACCACACAGCAGCCCAACGGCGGGGCCGCTCCGTCGGTCCCCCTGCTGGCCCCCAGCCTTTGACCCTAGTGCGCCGCGCCAACCAGCTGCAGCCCTGGCTCCAGCTCCCACTCCGGCTCCAGCTCGCGTTAAAGTTGTGCGTTTCTCCTCGGACACGGACAACAGGCTGTTGAGGCGCAAGATCAGGCACGAGCCGCACGCAAGCAAAAGGTGATCCCCCAAAGTGCTGTTTTTCATCTCAAAGGATTTTTATTTTCTGGCCAGCTGATTACAAAACAAATCCGGCCAATCAAACGATATTATTCCCACATATCCCAGCGACAGAAGCAAGAGTGTAGGCAAGCCCAGAGGAGAACATGTCGAAAAGAGGTTAATGCGCACAAAACACATTCCAAAACAGAGAAATCCTCCAGAACAAAATTAAAAAGTAAAATAGACGTGATGATTAAAGGCTTCGAGAAAAATCATCCCATTATCATCCACAGTATCGGGGCCAGCACAGCAGCACGTCCCCCTGGTACTCTCGCTGATACACACAACATCGATTGTTTATTTATTTCCAACGCAATAAACGCGTTGAAGAGCGCAGGCGCTGCTTGGCTCCAGCCAACTTCTGTACTGACACTTGCACTGGCGAGACCCCTGGCACCAAAGTGCGGTGCCTTTACGCAAGCTCCAAAGACATTCAATCCCAGTCTGCTTTTCTTATTTCTACAGGGTGTAAGCAGTGTTTGAAACAAACAAGTACAATGTTCTCAAATGAAGAAGCAAATGTTTAGAATGTTTCACACAGCACATATCAGCTTTCTTGTGACACATTAGAAAATGCCACGTTTATTCTGTTTGGTCAAATGTTTTTGACTAAAGTTTACAACTTTGGAACCAGTCGCCATCAAACATTTGTTCCACCCTTGCTGTAAATAGGAAATATTTAAACACACACACACACACACACACACACGCACACACACACACACACACACACACACACACACACACACACACACACACACACACACACACATCTTCCCACTGGCCTTCAGCACAAGTTCACTTAAAATATTTTTGTTTCTGGTTCAGTCAATTATTTATTTATTTATTTATTTATTATCAGCAGTGAGCTTTTATATATTTCTGATGGGCTTGGTAGGTTTTTGTGTATTCTGTTTTGTTTGTGTTCATTTGTAACCAAACCCTACTTGGATAAATTCACTACTTTGTATGATGAAACTTGGAACTCCAACAGCTTGATGGATAATATATATTATTTTTTTATCTATTTTTTTGCGCTTTCTGCTTTTTTTGTTTTGTTCATGTAATTGTTTATATCTGGAATGTATTGTGAGTCAATAAATAACAATTTTGTTTAAAATTTTAATTCATAGTTTGAGATTTTATTACATATTTTAATGCAGAATTTCATTATAATCCATCCATCCATCCATCCATCCATCCATCCAGCCATCCATCCATCCTCTTGCGCTTATTCGGAGCCAGGTCGCGGGGGCATCAACCTAAGTCAAGAGGCCCAGACTTCCCTCTTCCCAGTTACTTGGGCCAGCTTTTCTGGGGGAACCCCAAGGCTTTCTCTCGCAAGAGACATAGTCCTTCCAGTCTTGGGTCTTCCTTTAGGTCTCCTCCTGGTTGGATGTGCCCGGAAAACCTCACCAGGGAAGTATACTGGAGGCATCATAAGAAGGTGCTTGAGCCAACTCAACTTGCTCCTCTTGATGTGGAGGAAGGGTGGATCTACTCCGAGCCCCTGCTGGATGACCAAGCTTCTCACCCTATCTGGAGAGCCCAAACAACCTGTGGAGAAAATTCATTTTGGTCGCTTGTATCCGCAATCTCATCATCGTCAAGTTTATTTGTAATGTGCTTTCATAGAAGGTGAACCAAAGCACTGCACATGCATAAAATAATTTAAAACAACACTGACTCAAGCAAGGGCTCACAAAATATACATTAAGACAAATAAAAACAGATGATAAAAGCAAAACTTTATAAAATAACACACTAAAACAGGATAAAATAAAACTATAATATGTAAAACAATGGCTAACTCACAAGCTGAAGAACGCTACAGTATCGCCCAAGTCTCATTCCAAGTCTTGTTCTTTTGTTCACTACCCAAAGCTCATGACCGTGAGGGTAGGAACATAGATCAACCAGTAAATCGAGATCTTTGCCGTCTGGCTCAGCTCTCTCCACCTCGACAGATCGGTACAACGGAGTTGGTGGAGTCCAACTCTCATCGGGAACAAGCTTGACTTACGGCTGGAATTGTGGATCAAGCTCTTACACCGGTTATACAGGGACCTAACAGCCCTTATCAGAGGGCCTGGTACCTCATACCCCTACAGTACCCTCCACAGGGACCCCCGAGTGACACGGTCGAACACCTTCTCCAAATACACAGAACACATGTAGATTGGTTGGGTGAATTTCCACGCACCCTCCAGGATCCCCCTAGGTTATGGAGCTGGTCCAGTGTTACACGGCCAGGATGAAAACCACATTGCTCCTCCTGAATCTGAGGTTTGACAATCCAAAGGACCCTCCTCTTCAGAACCCCTGAATAGGCCTTACCAGACCTCCCAACCACACCTCTCTAGGTCTCACTGTCACTGCCTATGTGATTTTCTCAATATAATTAAAATACGTAAATTTACTGACATAAGTTTGGAATATTTTTTCAGCCCAAATTTTCCTATCCACATCTCCTGGACAGAGGACTACTGATCAAAAGCTTTTTTCATGTGGGTATTGAGATACTTGCACATAAGCCACTTCTGGAATTTAGCGTGTTAATACACTTCCTGTCGATATGAGGTAAAAAATATACTTCTATGTCATCAATCTTTCTGTTTTCACTCACCTCCTATGGTTCCCATGAGTAAATGGTCATAGGAGAAGGGTGAGACCAAAAACAGTTTAAAACACAAGAGGACAAGAGTATCACCGCTGGTTTAAAGGACTGGACCCAAATGCAGAGTTCGGCAAAACAAGGCTTTTATTTAGGCAAAGGCTTATCTAACTAAGGATCCAAAAATCATCAAAAAAACAAAACTGAGTCAAAGGACCCAGAGATCAGTAGCTTAATGCCTGGATGGAACGAGAGAATGATAACTAACGAATTGGCAACTGAAAGAGAACAGAAGCTGGTTAAATACACGCAATAACAGCTGGGAGAAATCAGAGTGATGAGGATCAGCAAACAGAAATGAAACAGGAGAGGTGACACCAAAATAAAACAGGAAGTGGGATGGAAGAACAGGTCTCACAGCAGGGCGTGACAAAGAGTTACTGACTTGGAGGGTTACCCAGGTCCTGACCTGGAGTCAGGCCTGGGTTTGGGGTGAGTGCCAATGCATGACAGCTGAACTTTCACCAATCAGTCCCAAAGCAAGCTATGAAGGCATGTCCACCTGGATACACCACCTGCAGGAGGAACACAAAGGGTTCAGTGCAGAAGCTTTGGAAGTCCAGTCCCCAGAATATAAAACAGGATCAATCAACCAATCAATCAACCAATCATCAATCAATCAATCAATCAATCAATCAATCATTTACATACCTGGAATGTGACCAAAGTGCTCTACAGGTACATAAATCCTCAAGTAACATTTCTGACTTGTTTGCTCACCTGCGTGGACTTTTGGCAGACTCTTTGAAGTTCAAAACTTAAGTTTTCATGTCAATGATCAATAAAACAATTGGATTACAAGCAAACAGAAATTATTCTAGCAAATGATTGCATCTGATAAGGATGGAGAAAAAATGAGAGAGAGAGAGAGAGAGAGAGAGAGAGAGAGAGAGAGAGAGAGACTAATTTGTTACCATTTTTGCTGAAAGGGATGAAGGTTTGATGCTGTGATAACTCACAGGTCAGAAAATCAGCAGCCTCATTCTAAATTTGAACAACTAATGGTTTGTCAATAGTCTGATTTAGAATAATGATTTGTTAATGGTCCAATTTAAAATGAGAGCTGTTGGAAGCTTGATGACCTTGATGGATTCCCTTTAGACTGACCTCCAAAAAAGGGAGAGAAAAGAATAGAAGAGTGGTAAATAGTCTTTGAGGAGAAGAGGATCGCTGTAGGAAAAGATCGATAAGAAGAGAGAATTTGGAAATTGAATGGAGCAAAGAAAGATTCAAATAGGGTGAGAAAGGGAGGAAAATTCAATTTAGTACAATTCAGTTCTATTTGTGTAGCTCCAGAGTACAACACATGTCATCTCAGGGCATTTTACATGGTGCAGCAAGGTCAAGACCCAATGTTATGGAGAGAAACCCGACAATTTCCCATTTAAAAAGCATGACAAGAGGACTGGAGAGGTGAGTCCTATAAAGTCAGGAGTAGAGAGAGGACAGAAGCAGGTAAATAACAACAGAAAAGGAGATAATACAAAATGCTCTTGCTGCTGAGGCCTGTTTCAAGCATCAAGGGTACTGGAGTTACAGAGGAGAGATACTTCATGTCTCTGAAGAAAAGAAACAGTAAAAATGCATTTCAGCAGACAGACACATTCAACACGAGAAGTGCTGAAGAGCCATCAGTGCAAAAAGTAATTCTATAGCGCAAAATAACCCATCAAAAGGCTTTGGGGTGGAGTGCTAACTGTAATTTTACCTCTTGATGAAAATATGTTTCAATCCCATAAATGCTGAATATCATGTCGACCATTTGAGTTGAGCTTAGAGGATGTTGCAACCTTAGTGTTTATTTTCTGTTCACCCATTAAACGGGACAAATAAATGCAGTAAAATTCAAAACGCTGATTTGAATCTGTAAGAAGCATAAGACATTTTCTTTCGGCTTTCATCTATCCCAGGAGCCCTGATAAAGGCCATTCTAACCCCCATAAATCAGCCTTGCTGTGAAAAGAGTTTACCTCTCCCACTTGGCCAGGACATAAATATGGTAATGAGCTGCTTGTTGATTGGTTGGTTAAAACCAGAAGGCCTTAGACACTGGAGACTGCAGGTTGGAGGATGCGCTCAAGATTGTGACATTTTGATGAGAGGTTTCTACGAAAATAAGTTTTTCTCTGGCATTTTAAACTTTCTTATCCAAGTTAAAGTCCCAGCTCACCACTGTATTAAGATAAAGAGTTAAACTGCTGATTTAACCCTCCTACCATCCTATTGGGTGACCTCGCAAAGAAAGTTGACCATTGAGCAGGGTTTATGGTTTATCCCTTGAGGTCCGCATGGTAGGGGTGAAGTGGGGCTCACTCCTCACCCCTGTCACGTGGACCTCAAGGGATAAACCATCAGTCCTGCTCAATGGTCAACTTTCCTGGCGGAGTCACCCATGAGGACAATGGGAGGGTTAAAAAAATTGTGGAATTGAGAACTATCACCCAGACTCATTTAAAGGGGCATTATGGAAGTTTGACAGCCAAAACATGTCTAGAAATAATAATTTCTTCTTCATACATTCTCCTGCAATGCCCTGGTCCTGTAGAATGAGCCCTGGCATTTTACTGTGATTAGGGATGGGTACCTTTGACATTTGAATCGATCCGGTACTAATTCCCGGTACCTACGAATCGATACCGGTACTTAACGGTACCAATTTTCGATACTTTTGAGTGTTTATTATTTTAATTCTCTTTTATAATTAAATATATATTTTTCTCAATATATAA